TTTAAGTGGACTACCAACAACAAAAGATAAATATAAACATGTGTTACTGGTAGTCGACAGCTACTCAAAATGGTGCGAAGCTTTTCCATTAAGAACAGAGGAAGCAGGTGAAGTTGCTAATGTTTTATATCGAGAAATTATATCCCGTTATGGTGCTCCTAGGACTTTATTATCTGACCGTGGACGTAACTTTGTATCAAATTTAGTGAAAGCTCTTTCAGAACTGTTTAATATCAAAAGACACCTTACAAGTTCATACCATCCGCAGACAAACGGTGCATGTGAGAGAATGAACTCTGTGATTTTACAAGCATTACGTGCATATACTCAAAATCAACAAGATGATTGGTATGATGTACTACCTGGAATTTTAATGGCCAACCGTGCTACGCCAGCTACCCAGTCAACAGATTATTCACCATTCTTTTTACTCTATGGAAGGGAAATGACTTTACCCATTGACACTGCACTAATACCAAAAGATCGTTTGGCACAAGACCACAAAATATTTTTAAGTAGAATTCTTCAAAATTTGGAAACTTTAAGAAAAAAATCTGCTAAGAATATCGAGCAAGCTCAAGAACGGTATAAACAGCAATATGATAAAAAATCTAAAGAACCTGAATTTCAACCAGCTCAACGTGTTTGGCTTTATTGTACAAAAGTACCTGTGGGAAAAGCTCCAAAATTACATAGAAAATGGTCAGGACCCTATTATATTACCCGAATTGGACCTCACAGCACCTATAAATTAAGAAATTGTGCCACAAACAAGGAAGTACAATCAATGGCAAATGCTCAAAGACTGAAGCCATATTATGATCCTAAAGACAGACCAACAAATATACCAGATGCATTTCAAGGGAGTGAAGACGAATTAGATCCAGAAGAACTACAAGATAACAACGCCGTTGAGGAACATCCACCTATTCAGAACAACCATCAACAACCTGTGTCAAGAACTAACAATAATGGCAATAATGGACAACATCTACCTATTCCTATTAATATCAATAATAGGCCAAATCATGACCAACAACAAAGTGATATTCTTAGAACCAACAATACACAACTTCCGAATCAACAAACAGGTGAAACAAATAGGATAAACCCAGCCACTTCAAGATATTCAACTGCTGATGCACCAATTAAAGACAATACACCATCTTGTCAAGACTGTAATGACAACAAATGTATTGCATTCAAGGAAGAATATATTCAGCAAGTTCAGTCTTCAGCTAGTGGTAATGTACTTTGTATTATAAAATTAAATTCACGGACAAATCAAGAAATGCAGAATGGCATTTTCCATGCAAAGTGCCAGCAAAGTTAATCAGAGAGTTCCATGCACAACGAACAATGAGTGGTAAGAAAAGAAAGAGACCATTGCAGCAGAACAAACATAAATTTTTCAACAAACCAGATACAACTATTAATAGTGTTAACCAAATATCAACTAAAATTATGAGAGAAATAAGCACACAAACTGAGAGTTTCAATGAACAAGATCCAGAAGAGAAACATAAAGAATTATTAGCCGACCGAATTGTTAATCACCGTCCATACTTTAAAATCAGATATGGAAAATCAATCAGATATGAAGCAATGACATCCGCTTTTAACTATGCACAAAAAGTTTTAGTTGAACATAAGGAACGTTTTAAACAAAAACTTTTAGAACAAGATATTGAAATCGCTGAAGAGAAGAGATTTAAGCAAAATAAACACGAACATTTCTTTGGAATCACAAAAGATGGAAAAATTCATGAAGTTAGGTATAATGCAGATGGTACCACAGATTATTTATCCGGATTCAAAAATCCAAATATAGCACCCGAATGGAGTAAGATAATTTCAAATGGAGCTATGAACAATTTCATACATTTGTTAGAATCACAATATAACAAAGAGATAGCTGTACTATGGTAATTTGATTGTTATGTATAAGAGTAATTTCATTGTTATGTATAAGAGTAATTTCATTTAATCTTAGTATTTTTCAGAATCAAGTATAGCTTTAATTATACCCCACGCAACGAGTTGCGGAGGGTATAATGTTTTTGACCCGTCCGTCTGTCTGTCCGTCCGTCCGTCCGTCTGTCCGTCAGTCCTGTTTCTTGTCATCGCAACTCCTCTCAAACCACACAACAGAATTTCACGAAACCTTTTTGGATAATAAGGACATACTATGTAGTTGTGCATATCGACAGGAAATTACGATTCAAATTTTTTTCTAGGAGTTACGCCCCTTTGAACTTATTTACTTTAATGTACTACTGCAACAGTTTGTCATCTCAACTCCTCTGAAACCACACAACAAAATTTTATGAAACTTTGTAGATAATAAGGACATACTACGTAGATGTGCATATCAACAGGAAATTACGATTCAATTTTTTTTCCAGGAGTTACGCCCCTTTGAACTTATTTGCCCAATATACTACTGCAACCTTTTGTCATCGCAACTCCTCTCAAACCACACAATAGAATTTCATGAAACCTTTGTCGATAATAAGGACATACTACGTAGATGTGCATATCGACAGGAAATTACGATTCAATTTTTTTTCTAGGAGTTACACCCCTTTGAACTTATTTGCTTCAATATACCTCTGCAACAGTTTGTCATCGCAACTCCTCTGAAACCACACAACAGAATTTCATGAAACTTTGTCGATAATAAGGACATACTAGGTAGATGTGCATATCGACAGGAAATTATGATTCAATTTTTTTTCTAGGAATTACACCCCTTTGAACTTATTTACTTTAATGTACTACTGCAACAGTTTGTAATCTCAACTCCTCTGAAACCACAAAACAAAATTTTATGAAACTTTGTAGATAATAAGGACATACTACGTAGATGTGCATGTCGACAGGAAATTACGATTCAATTTTTTTTCCAGGAGTGACGCCCCTTTGAACTTATTTGCCCAATATACTACTGCAACCTTTTGTCATCGCAACTCCTCTCAAACCACACAATAGAATTTCATGAAACCTTTTCAGATAATAAGGACATACTACGTAGATGTGCATATCCACAGGAAATTACGATTCAATTTTTTTCTAGGAGTTACGCCCCTTTGAACTTATTTGCTTCAATATACCTCTGCAACAGTTTGTCATCGCAACTCCTCTGAAAACACACAACAGAATTTCATGAAACTTTGTCGATAATAAGGACATACTAGGTAGATGTGCATATCGACAGGAAATTATGATTCAATTTTTTTTCTAGGAGTTACGCCCCTTTGAACTTATTTGCTTCAATATACCTCTGGAACAGTTTGTCATCGCAACTCCTCTGAAACCACACAACAGAATTTCATGAAACTTTGTAGATAATAAGGACATACTATGTAGATGTGCATATCGACAGGAAATTGTGATTCATTTTTTTTTTCTTAGTTATTTTATTTCTCCAGTGACAATGTGGGGACGTGGGGTATGTGAGCGCGCTCACTAAGGTTCTTTAATTGTTTAAGAGTTATTCCAATGGCCATAGAATAGAGTTTATTATAAAACGGTAGATACCAGTATTGTATATATTTTGTGTCATATGATTTAGTGTAATACTAGCTAGTAGGTATTTTTATTTTATGTTTGTTTATTTTCAAAGTATTGTTAAATCTATTTTTCAAAAACAATTTGGAGTTGGACTGGTCATTCAACTCCACACCCTGCACTTGTATAGGGCTTGACCACCTTGTACAAGGAGCAAACATTTTGTTGTTTTTATAAATTTTTCTCTATTTCTGTTTAGAATTCTTTATCACATGTCACGTCTTAATTTATAGTTTTCATTTCTTATTTAGCATTTTTTTAAGTCAAGCAATATTTTTCTTTAATGGCAATCTTATCATGTCTGGAAGTAAATGAACTTTTATGTAGTATTTTTTTTTTACTTTTCATGAGTTTTGTATATATATTTTCTAATGTTTTTAGTTTTTTTGTATATATGCATATTTTCTAATATTGAGGACAAACATATTGGAGAAGGGAGGAATATATCATAGGTGTACTTTTATGTAAAAGTTTTTAAGTTGATATTTTAGAAAATATAGGAATATTTTTATTTCAGAAAAATTTATTGTAGAGCAAATTTTAGTTAAACTTTAATTATTAATCTCAGGTAAATTTTGTAAATATGTCACTCATTACTGATTGTTTTGAGCACTTATTGTATCTTGTCATTTATCATAATTAGTCTTGAGCTATATTCTGTTTTTAAATAGTTTCAATAGTATAAGTCATTTTATCTGTAATTAGTAAATTCAAATTGACACTATTCATATTTCACCTGCTGATATTTTAACAAATTTATTATGCTCATATTATATTCTCAATGTCTGTCATTTTCTGAGTTGTTTTCAGCATTCGGAATAAATATCGTAGTCAAACAGTAAGTCGTCAGTCTCGTTCGGTGTAATCCAGTAAGAAGTGCTACCAAAGCCATCCAGGGAATAGGAAATCAACTCTACCCATCCGGCTCAGCTACTCAGGAGAACCATCAACTCAAAAGACTCAAACTCAATCATCTCAACATTCAACCAATATTTAGGAACTAATAGTGATAACGGAACATTTAGTGGAATTATTTTAATTGAACTTTAACTTCGGACATTTAGAACTTTCAACTTTAACTGTGATTTTGGATTAGTGACTTTATAATTTAGAACATTTGGATTTTAATTATTTGTTTATTGTTTTGACATTATCATCATCATTTAGATCTGTTATTATTTAAAACTGTTAAATTTGCTGCTTGCTGTATAGTTATGCCTGCCATTGCTTAAGTCTTGCGAAAGACTGACCCCCTGTCCCACGAGTTGGTGCATGTTTGATAGTCCCCCTTAAACTCAACGTGCATTGGCCCCTGGTGACAGATTTCCTATGTCAGTGAGCTTGACCCATAACAACTATTCTGCTTTCAAATCTCCTCTCTCCATTGAAAAAAGGTATTGTCTGTTGAACAATAGAAAACTTAAATCATCTACTATCACAAATTTTATTAAAGATTAAAAACTGCAATCCTTAATTAACGTAAAAATTAGGTAAAAATATCATGTTAATATTTATCAAACGATATATAAAATAATAATTATATTATGGCATTGACTGAACATAACTGGCAAGAAATCAACAATTAGGTAATAAGATTACAAGATACACACATTATAGAGACACATGGACATTTTTTTTTTATATTTTGTTATTTACAGTTAACAGTAAAATTTCTGTCAAATTTAAATACAAAAATAATGTATACCCTTTGGCAATACATTGCTATATGAATGGATAAAAAATACTTGCTGAAACAAATCTTAAATGTCATGGGGGTCCAACTTAAAATAAATTATGTAGACTTTAAATAGACTAGTAAATCCTGAAAATAAGACATAAATGCACTTTATTTGGACTAGTTTTATCAGATATCACAATTACTTTTCACTGACAATAGTTATAGAATTCAACATGTTTCTAATCACAGAAAAGCTTATCTAGGAATAAAAAAGATAAAAAAAAAGTTTAAAAAAAAAAACATAAAATGTACTAAAAGGTAGATGTTATGAATTTTACTGCTTATCAATTAGGGGAGAAGTTTGGCCTCCCTCCATTTAAAGAACACGTTTAACCTTATATTTAATCTGATAAAAAAAAATGTTAATGATAAATCTAATAAACAATTATGAAGTAAAATAATGCTATAAATTCCACACTCAAATATTCCCTGGGATCAATTTATCTCTGTCTTTTCTGTTTTTGGCAATACATTTATTAAAGCCAAGGATAGCACTTTCATTGAACAGGTAAATGCAGTAAGCAATAATTTCTTTGGTTAAAATAATTTGCTAAAACTGTCACAAAAACAATGGTTTCAAATGGAAAAACACTCATATAAAACTGGTTATAATTCAACAATATAATCAGAAAAACATCTGTTACCTATTATGTAACTAAAACAATCATTAACAAAGTCTCTTGTTTATTGCAACTACATTAAACTCCAGCTGTATGGAACAATATGTGTATATTTCATATTTTATAATTATGAATTATTAACTAGCTACTTGACAACACTCCCATGATGTATTGATATTTTTGTAGTCAAAGGAAGACAATTCGAATGGCTTAAGAGTCTGCTCTTTCATTACAAATGTATTATAGGTTACCTCATCTATAGGATATTTATGTCTGTGAAGTAATGTTGCTGTGCTTCATAAGAATTCTCTATCATGTACAGGTGGGAATTACTTTTACAATGTTTTATTAAAAAAAATACTGATAAACAATTCTAAATAAATAAACAAGAAACTTTGGTATTATGCCATGTTCATGCAAATATATCATAACTATGCACTGAAGAATAAAATCTTCATAAATAAATGATATGTAAAAGGTTAGAAAATCAAAACCAGACAATTAGTCTATAAATAACAATGTTAAATAGTTACAAATATATAGCAGATAAAAACACTTCAAATAACATGTAACACTAATCAACTTTTTTTATAAAAATGCCTTTGTCCCAATAATATCTTCCTCTCATTCAAAAACAAAATATCTTTAAGCTATTTATTTCATTGCAGCATTTTGATTTTGATCATTTTGATTTTTTTTTAAAGAAACCAATAGGGAAGTATTTACATTATCAAGTCACATACTGATTATTGTATCCAATTATTAATCAGAATTTTGTAAATATAAAATTACTGTTTCACTTTGAACATGTTGAATCAACTAGCATTAAAATCATCACTCTCTGATTTTAATAAAAGGCCTGATAGATTTATGATTATGAGAATTGAGTTAACTTCCCTCCAAAATAGACATCAGAATAGAATGAAATATGCTCATAGTCAAATAGGCCTATTCATCATTTAAGATTGTATCTGAAATTTAACCCTGCTTTATTGACTAGATATGAATGATTAAATGCTGATAATTTACATCCAAATACTAATATACATCTTTTATATTGGTAATCAATGGTAATATATGAATGTATTTAAACAAAAACTGCAGTTTTGTGTTAGAAATAATTACTGCTCTAATGCAAGCATGAACAATTACGTATAATAATAACATTTTTTTATGAGAAATTCATTACCCTTAGTTCTTGCTAAAAAGTATTTCTAAAATACAAAATAATAATTTGAAATTTATCACATTACTTATTGGCTGCTCTGATTTTCCCTCTTATTTAAACAAGAAAACTAAATGTACTGAATCATATTACCCTTTGAAGATAGCAATATTCTATAAATGAATATGTTTATAAAAGGCTATGATAACAAACTTCTCTTCGAGAGAAAATTTATGACATATGAAACACAAATTTGGAAGACAAGTTCATGGTAAATTCACTCATTGGCATCACAAATAATCATTGGGTTGACACATAACAATAATCTGGTAGCTGGAAATATTAATCAGGTCTCTTTATTTCTTTAGATGTGCTTCATCTGCAATCTGTTCAAGAAATGACTCTTTTCTCTGGAAACAAAATAACATTTTGTTTAAAGTGATTTCTTATAAAGTTCACATTTTTGTATTCCCAGTTGATGTCTCCAATTTCTTTAATATGATAAGAGATGTCTATTTTTGATAGGCACTATTAACCAGAATTTATTTTGTTCCATAAAATCCATTTTTACCAACACACCAAAGATGAAAGATAATAGAATGTAATTTTGTAAACAAACACAAATTTAAGTTTAAGCAAGAGTTTGAGAAGCCAATATTATTAATCTTACTTATATGCTTAACATTGACTCAATCTGAGTAAAAGTTATGTAAAACTTTACACTCTAGTGACAGTGTACTTTAATCCAAAACTGGGTTTAAATTACCCTGTCTGTGTCAAGTTTTATTCATGAATAAAAAGTGATCTGGAAACAGCAACATAACAAAATATGTATCACCAAACTAGAGATTCTTAGGAGCCTGTGCCCGTATGCATAAAACCACTTAAGTTAAGAAATCCAATCGTAGTACTAATTTATCGTTGGACATGTTGAAAAATCTGTCCATTCGGAACAAATCTTAACTTAAGTAGCTTTATGCATACGGGCCCTGAATCCTTCACCTGACTATCTACAGGTAAAAGATGTCAAATTGGCCAATAACTCTATATGAATAACACATATCTGAGAGGGTGATAGAGCAGATTGTTACCCAGAGAAAACATTGTCAACTGAGTCGAAGCCAAGGTTGACAATGTCTTTTCGAGGGGTAACAATCTGCTCTATCACCCTCTCAGATATGTGTTATTCATATAGAGTTATTGGCCAATTTGACATCTTTTACCTGTAGATAGTCAGGTGAAGGATTCAGGGCCCGTATTTAATAAAGCGCACACTTGATCAAGCGTCTCCGTGAAGGGTAATAGAGTATTTATCATAGGATAGAGTAAATTGTCTCCCTCGTATTAACCAATCAAAATCTGGCATTTTGACATGAAGTATAATAAAAAAAATTGTCTTGTAATAAACCTGTGTTTTGCAGTCTTCTATCCAGGGCAGAATTTTGTTGTCTCTCTTGCTCTTAAAATCAATTAAATTTCATCGATTGTTAAATGCTAGATTACATACCGGAAGGTTAGGTAGACATCTTCCAAAACATTCTAACAGTAAATTGTCGTCATGGATGGAGGTTTTAAAGTCTTCAAATGAAACCCTTGTGTCATGATCTTGGTCCTAAAAAAACAGTTATTTTTTTTCATTTTGTACAATTAAATATTAAACTGTACTAATTCATATTATACTGAAACATAAAACAGTGATTCTGACTAGCTCTTATATAAATTTTAGTGTATTATAAATTCAATATCAGTGACAGTCACAATGAAAAATAAATGGAGAATGTGTCTGAGGACACGAATGTTCATGCTCCAGCTTTGCAATTTTCCAAGATAAAAAGGGGCATAACTCTATAACTATAAATGACTTATTGCCCTTACTGCTAGTTATGGTTCTTAGCATTGTGTATGAGTTTCATAAAATTTGAATTAAGCAAACTTGAATTAGAGTGGGGAAACCCAAAAATGTGCAATTTTTCAAGTTATAGAGGAGCATAGTTCTAGAACGGTGAGTCACTGCCCAAATTGGAACTCTGTCTGCAAGTTTTGGTTCTTTGCATTGTTTAAGAGTTTTGATTTTAAGCCTTGTTTAAGAGTTTTTGTTCTTAGCATTGATTTGCATAGTCAAACTTAAGAGTGCAGAAACAAAAAAATTTGTGATTTTCCAATTTATAAAGGGTCATAACTCTTGAAAGGTAAGCGACTCACTGCCCAAATTTGTGCTCTGTCTGCAAGTTTCGGTTCTAAGCATTGAGCATGAGTTTCATGAAATTTGCATGAGGCAAACTTGTTAGAGAGTGGAAACGAAAAAGGGACGGACGGAAGGAAGGACAGTCAGTCAAGGGTTAAACTTAATGCCCCTTTGCCTAAGGCAGGGGCATACAAACAATACAAACAGTATTTTTTAATTTCTTTAATCATTTACATTGAAAATGTGGACATTTTCACCAAGAAGTTATTTTCACCTATTTCGCCTTCATGTAAATTGCGCAAGAATACACCTTCCACAAATTGTTTTTAAGGCCACACCAATTTGGTTTGTAGTTCTTTGGACAAAAGCTACAAAAAATAAGGGGCGAGCGAGCGAAATCTTTTTGATTTTATTTTTTTCTTAAAAATGAGTTTTTTTTTAGGTGAGTGCTCTACAAGTGAGTGGAATTTTTTTTTTTAAATTGTGCGACTTAGAATTTATGTACATGTTATAACTGGGTTACTTCATAGAAAAATGAGGAGAAACATGCTCTAATGCATATAATTGATTTATTGGTGCCTGTTCCATACCAGACTTTCTTGTCTCACTGTGGTTTAGTTAATTTTGATTATTGCCGTCAAATAATGCATTTAAAACTCTTTAGCTTGACAAGAAGTGGTTGAACCAATTACACATCCCTTATTATTATGGGCATGCCAATCACAATACCACCACCTTGGTCTCGTACGTTGGAACTCTTAAATTTCCCTTACCAAAGAGCTCTGCTTGCATGCTCTTTGGACTAACAAAGGGATATGGGGTTTCATCAAAATAAGATAATTCTGTGATTTTTTAAAAAGTTCATGGGAATTTACAATTAATTTCATCCAAGATAGATGGGTGCCTGTTGAAACAAGGATTATGGATGACAATGGTTCTAACAAATATTGATGTGATTGTGGTCATTTAACGAAAGATTTTTATTTTTGCCTCCTACAATAGGCCTTCAAAGGTAAAGCGAGATGCATTTTGGATAACTGTGTGTTCAATAACTACTTGTCCACGGCAATGAGCTGACACAATTGCATGTTGGCATCCAGATTTTTGACCTTTTATTTACAAATCAATTTATCACACGTGCATTTGAATCGAACGGAGCAATATATGCAATAGAAAAAAGTCTTTTGGAGCTGCATGCGGACCAAAAATTTGCGGAAGCAGTAATTATTTTTTTCTATTGAAAAGTCAATTTCTCCAAAACAGGAGCGGGAAAATCCAAAGAACTAGGAATCAAATTGGTGTGGCATAAAAGGCAAAAATATTGATAGGAAGTGCAAATTTGTCATTGACAAGCAAATATAACACAAAAATTAAGTGCATTTCAATTCTTGAAAATGACAACCCTGGAAAATATCCAGGTTTAGTTTTATATTTCTTCATGCCATAATCTTTAGTATGTGTTGAAAGTAAAACAGAAATTATACTTTTTCTTCTGTTATTGTTTATTGCAATCTTTTATTTAGTTTGCTTTTGTGCACTAAGTTCTTGTTAAATGTTTTTTGTACTGTGTTAAAATTTATACACAAATGACAATTATTTTCATCATGAAGTAAAATTACTAACCAGCTTTTTCAGGGCAACTTCAACTAAATCTTTTACGCCATCATCTGGATCATCCTGCTCATTTCCTGGCTGTAAATATTTACAATAGTTTTCAGATTAAAAAAATCATTAATTACATATAATTGTATAAAATTTTAGTTATGTCCCATAATAGCTCTTTCAAATATAATTTCATCTTAGCTTGGCTTCTTCAACTCTAAACCTACACTTCAACACAATCTTATCAAACAGTTTTCTTGATCCATTTAACATGTTTAAACTTGTTGATCCTTTGAATAGTCTTAATCTTCTAGTCTTTATCGGTGCTAACATTGATTTTCAATAGTTAAATACATTAAATATACTTATATTGCTATCCAGTCATCAACATTTGTGGTCCTGTATCCAGAAAGTGAGAGTACTCTTAAATAGACACTATGTATATTTTGTTATTTTTATTAATTTAACTTAGTACCATTGTGATGAGTTAAGCCCTTCTTAACTATTTTTTTATAGATTGTTCTAATGTTGCATTGTTACACCATTGTCCCAGGAGAGAATAGAATGCTCACCAACATGTTTAACTTCAACATCTTAATATGCCTCACCCAGGTTAGGAGTCTGTACTCCACTTGTTGTTGTCAGCCATATTTTTTCTTCATTTAATGTTATTAATTTAAATCAGGCCATTTGTTTTCTCTATTGAAATGTTACCCATTTTGTAATCCTTGAGCCTTTAATAACTTAAGGTATTTGGTTTTCTCATTGTTGAGGCTGTACTCTGACCTGTAGTTGCCCTTTGGTAAATGGTGGATAGTTATCTTGTTGGCAATCATATCACATCTTGTTACTTTTATATAATCAGTACAAACCACAATAAGACTTTGTTTCAGCAGGTGAAACATTTCTTCTCTTGAAATAAAACCATCACTGTTCATATCATACACATCAAAACAGTCTAAAATAGGTAAAGGTTTGTACAAATATCAATATTTAACATCTTATTTCCTTAAAAAAGAATACATACATTATGTAAATGTATATACAAAAAATGTCAAATACATTGTGTATAATACAGCATGGATAGAAAACCACTTTATTTAGAACAAAACATTTGTCATTCAGTAAGTAGCTCATGGTTTCCACTCGCTGTCAGCTATTTCCCATTTTGCGAAAAAAGAAAAATTGTGGCAATAAAAATATCGCAAGTAGTTCATATCAAACTAACTTAGCAGAAAACTTATCATTGAAAATTGCTAATTAATTGAAAGCCACTGAACCATGGCCTAGGGGGCAGGGCCTCAAAATAGTCGTCAAAGTGATATGTACTGATAGTAATGCACCTTAAAACATAATATCATTGATCTATCACAAGTAGTTCCTATCAAACTAACTTAAGCAGAAAACTTAACAATTGTTGACCGAGTCATGGCAGCTGTCGCCAGAAAAGCAATCCTTATGTCTCGCTTTCATCGACTGAATGTGTCTGAGGACACGAATGCCCCGCTCAAGCTTGCTTATAAGATGTGAAAATACTTTAGGGATGGACAGAAGGACAGACACTTAATTACCCCTTCGCCTAGCGGCGGGGGCAAAAACAACTTGCACTTTGCTTTTTACCCAATTTGCATGAAACAATGGGAGTCACAAGCTGCAAGCACCAAAGCACATTAAAGGAAAATTGCAAACAGTTAAAACACATTGCCAAAAAATAACCCTTTACCACCCTCACCTAAGACTTTGGAGTAATTGTGCAAAATGTCTAAAATACAATGGACTGATATAAATAATTTCTAAATTAGAACTTAATACAGTACATACATTTGCATAATTCATCAATGGTGCCTCTGAGAAAAACTGACATTCCCAAAATCCATTCTTCTTCATTCAAATGTGAGTCATTGTCTTTATCAAATGCCTTGAAAACTGAAAAAAAGTTGTCTGTTCTATATTCATGTGTATTTAAAAAACATATTGTGATAGCACTTGTCCATTTTTACAAGTCATATGGCGACCTCTAGATGGTTTTAATGTGTTGTTGTATTGGAAAAATAATACTGTAAATTCAGAAATTTTTGTGAGGTTTTAATTAATGCGACTTGGTGAGTATCCCAATAATAAGAACTCACATTCTGATATCTGATTCATATATCTGTATGCAGATTTTCTTGAAAACGCAATAATTAATCTCTCTTTTTTGTCCATTCTTCAAAAATGGCAATAATGTCTGAAACTACAGTATGTAAGTCTTGCTTTCTGCGTTTTTCTTCAAAGGCCATACAAAAATATTGTACATGTATCTGGAGCCTTAAATTGAAACAACTTATCTAAAATTAACTAAACATTCCAAGGTTTAAGCTTTTCTAATAGATTTTTAATCAACATAATCAATGTTATATCACTTTAAATAGTTAGTTTTGATTCTGACCTCTAAACAATGAATGCAAATCATTAGGTTCTTATAAAATAATGTGAAACAAATTATTTATCATGTTTGTTATAGTTTAAAAGGAATAATAAAGCAATAAATTTTGGAATGCTGAAATATTAAGATGAGTTGTTATACCCCTGTCCATTATAAAGTCTTCTGTGATTGCAAATGTATTGTGGAGTAGATCTCTGAACTTTGACCTGTCGATTTTATTGCCCCTGGTACTTAGTTTTCTCTGCATTTCTAGTAACTTTTCTATCTCCAGTTTGCTAACTGAAAAACATTAAAAACAAAGATCATTTACCTGTAAATAGGGCCATAAAAAAGAATATGTTTGTTTGCCCTAACCCTACCTACCCAGAAAATATCTGCCTACTCAAAATCTTTTATTGTCTTGATGTAAAAAAAAATTTATAATCAGATAGGCATGAAGACTAAACACAATCTGACATTTCAATTTCTCTTTGCCGAAAAAAGAAAAGAAAATGCCTACCTACCTACCCACTGTCTCTACCTTTGGGTAGGGTTTGGGCAAACCAAAATATTTTTAGATGTGGCCCAGGGGAAAATGAAAATACCAAAGGGGACAAATCATTAGTTAAAAAAATTAGATTGACGTACAATAAATCATGATTAAAAGAAACAAATATTTCAGATAGAATACATGTATAAATGTTCTTATATTTGAGAATCAATAAACCATCAAATATCACAATAAAATATAGCGAAGTAGTTCAGTTAACAAAATCAAGTTTGTTTAGCCAGAAACCATACTGATTAAAATTTATTTCTCAACCACAATTGTACATTTTACAGAAATTACCTGTAAAACTTTGTTTGAAAATACATAATGTCTTATTTGCATTATTTATCATGATACTGTGAATTCATTATTATTTATTGGATACCAATTTTTGTTGGTGGTTACAGGGGAACTACAAATTTACATTTTCAACGAATTACAAATTTTCTATAGGAATGTGAGCAGTTTTTGGCAAAACAACAAAAATCAAATATCCTAGAAAATTCAGTTTTCCTCAATCCACAAAAAAATTAGTGTCCACAAAAATAAATAAATCCACAGAGACACAGTTATTGCAATAAAAATGTTAATCTTTGCATATTATTAAAAATTTTTTTTTTTTAGAAAAAATCACTTCCATACAAAATCTATGGCTTTTCTAATTTTCTACATGTTCAATATTGTTCTTAGAATGTTACATTTACCAAAAATATACCTATTTTCAACAATTAAGTTTATGAGAATAATTGCTGCTCTGCCGCACTTTGAATCATCCAAAGTCACTTGAACTTCTATCCATAAATGATTTTAAAAATAAATAATTTAGTTTTGGATATAACACATATTTTGATTGGCTTAAAGTTTTTTGTCTATTAGCGCATAGACATAATTTTGTCATGTGACCATGACATCATCAATGAAATAGCCTAAAAAATGTGGTGCATACTTTTAAATGATCCGCTAATCGGGTTATTCAGTGTGCACCACATTTTTTATGTTATTCCTTAAATAAATATTATCGTATATAGTTTAGTAAAAGGACTATACTAAACTACAAGTCTATATACAATATTTTTTTATAGTGTATATTCGCGATATATCTATATAAATGATTTAAAACATATTGAATATGGTATAATTGGGGTTTACTTTTACAATCATTATTTTCATTGAAAAGAAAAAAATATAACTTTAAAGTTTGACATTTTAAATTTAGTAAAATGCATTGAATGTTTTGTTATTCTCATCAGTTAAGTATCTTATAATGATAAATATATAATTAATAAACATTTACATTTGTTATAATCAAGTAGTAGCTTTATGATATTAAAAAGTTGGTAAAGTCCTCAGAGTTAAACTAAAAAAATTCAACTCGCACCAACAAAAAAAATGAGTCAAAAAATTAATTTTCCAAACTTCTCTTCAGTTATCAAGGCCAAGATGAAGTGCCATTTGTCCTCTACATTTTACCAACAAACATGACAAAGATAAAACTGATGTATTCCAAACAAAGCCATTATGTTAATCATCAATAAAAATATTCTTTTATCACAACTAACACAAGACCAGAGACATGCTAGTCAAAATAATTATGATGTCTTGAAAGGCTATGATATTTTTTTGCTTTGACGCCTTACAGTAACGCTGTTAGGCGTCAAAGCAAAAAAATATCATAGCCAATTATTTGGACTAGAGACGTATAGATTCCACCACTGCAACAAGTGTGTTACGATATTTCTCCACTTGAGACAGTTAAATTTTAATATTTAAAGCACGAAGCTTGCCAAGCTTTTTAAATAATTAAAATTTAACTGTTGAGAGTGGAGAAATATCGTTATACATGAGTTATAGTGGTGGAATCTGTTTCTCTAATGATTTTTTGTCATTCCTTTTCAAAGATTTTCAGAAAGATGTGTTCTTTATATATGACATCAGGCATGGTCGCCTTTTTTCATGATGTCACAATAGGAAATTCAGAAGAAACCAAGAAAATTTTGACGTCAAAATTAAATTTCGACCAATCAATTGTCGAGAACAGATATTTCACTAGTGAGGAAAAATATTTTTCTCACACCGATCAAGAAATGTGGAAAAAACACAAAAATTAGAGAAATAGATATAAGAAGATGTGGTATGAGTGCCAATGAATGCATACTTTACCTGTTTACATATCTCGGTCAATATCAATTATAAAATACAAAATTATCATTAATTTTACGATTTATCTAATCAAATGATACATAACAATGCTATAAAGGGTACGAGTCAGTAGAAGTACGAGTTAGCAAAAGTACGAGTTGGTTGTAAAAGTACGAGTTGGTAAAGGTACGAGTTGTTGACATGTGTTAGGCAATACATTATTGATCTACAATAAAGGGTGTTTACAATGGGTCTTTTTCTTCAGTCTCTCTATCATTTTCTGTTTATCTTGTCGGGTTCTAAAGGATTTAACGCCTTTTGATGGCATTTTGATTTGTCCCTCTTTGTTTACGTTAAACCAGTAAATATTTCCAATGTGAAATTGCAAAACGAACGTTCATTTTTAGGGAAATTAAAAGTGTAAACGATAAACAATCTCTGCATATAATTATTCAATTATGGAAAAAGGATAACATTTGAACTATGCACCATTTTAATTAAAAACAAGGCCACTTTTCACAATTAAAACTGAATTACAATAAGAATCAATCCGATAAATTAACGAGTGGTATCTATGATAAGTACGCATGGGTACGGCGGGAAATCTTTAAAAGTTTTTGCGCCAGGTCAAAATTGACTTACTTTCATGATCTGCTTATATTGAGTCAGTTATTCAAGTTTGGCATGTTTAAGGTATATTACCTGTATTAAAAGTGCTACTTATAGTTTGAATCTTTTAAATCTGCTGTCAATAAAGATGTTCGGTCAGCTGAAAAGAAAACTAACAGAAAACAAAGATTTTAAAAGCAAATTTTAATTTAATGAATGTTCTAGATAGCGTCCTCGTCAATTTATTTTAACAAAATAATTATACAATGTGCCGAAGTCATGATTTCTTAAACAGTAACTATATTTTACTATTTTTAAGAATGTAACATAAATGGACCCTATTCAGTGGAAATCGGCCTGATATATAGTATATCCTGAAAGGCTTTTATCGGCAATCCAGATTTTAAGTATCAACATATTGCAAATAGAACACGATGAACTGCATAAGAATATCGATCAAATAGGTTTACCTGTTTCCACAAATTCTGATACCGTTGTGACTTTCCTAAACGAGGTTGGTTGTGAAACTTTAGAGGAAGAAGAAAATTACAATTGTTTTATAAAATTCAGAATAATAATGCCCCTGAATATTTATGTAATCTTGTGCCCCCTAACATTCAAAGTATAACACAATATCCAAGTGCGAAATGGACAAGATGTTGTTTTTGCAGGCTGACACTGACTTACCAATCATTTATTCCCTAAACAATTAAACTTTTGAGTAATCTGAATATGTTAGTTTGAAATGTAGACTCATTATCAAAATTCAAAAGAGAATTAAAAAAACACGATTCAAAGTGAGAATCCATCTCAACATTATTTATATTGTCGTAGAAAATTAAATATATAGTAGTAACATGTTAAATGCTTTTTAATCTTTACCATAAAGTCCAATCATGTGTTAAAGTAAATGGGAATTTAACCCAATGGTTTGATGTTAAATGTGGTCTAAAACCAGGGTGTGTATTATCGCCCATTGTGTTCAATATTTTTATCAATAATATAGTAGATGATGTCAAAAGCTTAAAGATTCCAATTGGCATTCCAGTAGAGGATGAGAACATATGTATTTTGTAATATTCTGATGATATTGTTTTACTTGCTGATAATTATTCAGACTTATAAAGGCTCTTATATAAAATTGAGAATGGAAATGGGGAATATGTCAAAGAGACAACAACCCGACCAAAGAGCAGACAACAGCCGAAGGCCACCAATGGGTCCTCAATGGAGAGAGAAAATCCCGCACCCGGAGGTGGGCCTCAGCTGGCCCTTAAATAAAAATGTGTATCTCAACCCTTCCCTATACCTCAAGCCAATGTAGAATAAAGAAACACACAGCAATAAGCACAGTAAAACTCAGTTTAAAAGAAGTCCGAGTCCGATGTCAGAATAGGTAACAAGAGAAACTAAGGAAAATGACAATGATACATAAATAAACAAAGGACTACTAGCAGTTACTGACATGCCAGCTCCAGACCTCAATTAAACTTATTGAAAGATTATGTCTTCATCATATGAAAATCAAGCACAATCCCTCCCGTTAGAGGTTTAGTATCATACCATCATAAAATATATGAGAAGAATATAACCCGTATCATGTCAACAACTGGTTTTAGAATAAATGTGTTTATTTCCGATGCAAAGACCCTATCAGTGAATCAATATTTGTACTAAAATATGCCATTCTTAATGACTTGACAACAGTATCGTAAATATATCCCTTCTGAATAAGTCTGTTTAAAGGTTTGGTTAGCTTTTGAGGTGAATGCCGACATTTTTGTGCTTTGTAAAGAATATTACCATAAAAGATTGGATGTGAAATACCTGAACCTATAAGATGTCTGCATGTTGATTTATATTTACGAATGATGTCCTTGTACCGATGATAAAATTTAGTAAATGTTTTGACTAGTTTGTGATATCGAAAACCCTGGTGTAATAATTTTTCAGTAATACAGAGATCCAATAAAGAATCAATTTGAGTGTTAAAAAAAAAAAAAAAGTAATACAGAGATTTCTTTCGTTAAAATCTAATACGCTGTTACATACACGATCGAATCGAACAAGTTGAGATATATAAACACCATAAGATGGTGACAAGGGAACGTCACCATCTTAAAATGGATAATTAACAATAGGAAATGAAAAATCATCCCTTTTATCATAAATTTTGGTATTAAGCTTCCCGTTAAAGATATAGATATCAAGATCCAGGAAAGGGCAGTGTTCATTGTTAGTATTAGTATATGTTTATATATGGGGTGTCAATGTTAATTTGAATAAATCTAAGATTATTCATTTTAGAACACCTTCATCTCCAAGGTCTATTAATAAATGTATGTTTGATTTTTTCAGTGTATATTCAATGGTGTTAATATGTCCTTTGATTGAGTTAAGCTATTTCAGTTGATATTTTATAGTGTGTCTTTCTACGTTGTGATGTTACACTATTGTTTCAGAAAAAGGGTGAAGGTTTGGTACCATTAAAACGTTTAAACCCGCTGCATTTGTTTGCACCTGTCCTAAGTCAGGAATCTGATGTTCAGTAGTTGTCTTTTGTTGATGTGGTTCATAAGTGTTTCTCGTTTCTCGTTTTTTATATAGATTAGATCGTTGGTTTTCCCGTTTGAATGGTTTTACACTAGTGATTTTGGGGGCCCTTTATAGCTTACTGTTCGGTGTGAGCCAAGGCTCCGTGTCGAAGACCGTACTGTGACCTATAATGGTTTACTTTTATAAATTTTGACTTGGATGGAGAGTTGTCTCATTGGCACTCATACCACATCTTCTTATATCTATTGGTAATGATAACATTGAAATTGTTACACAATATACTTATTTTGGTTTACATCTTACAGAATATTTGAATTATGATTGAATGGCAAAAGCTATTGCCAAGTCTGCAAGTAGAGCTCTTGGGTTATTGATCGCCAAATGTAAATTAAATGGTGGTTTTTAAATTTTGTTATTCCACATATACAAAGCTTTTTGACACACTTGTATGGTCAGCTATCGATCATGGTGCTTCAATATGGATAACAAGAGGATTCGATATCTTGCATGAATGCAGTTAAAAGCAGAGCGATGAGATTTGCCATGAGTGTAGTATGGTGGCCGGTTATGGCCATTTCGCGTTTTCGCGATTTCGCCTTTTTGCCTTTCATATTCTTTATGGCAAAACGCGAAAACGCGAAATGGTTTCACTTCTTGATTTCGCGTTTTCGACTTCGCGATTTTGTGTTTTCGACTTCGCGTTTTCGCGTTTTTAACTTCGTGTTTTCGCGTTTTCGCCCTATATAGAGTAGGAAAGGCGAAAACGCGAAATGGCCTTAACCGGCCACCATAGTGTAGGAAAATATACATCCAAACTTATCTCTGAACGGCGATGTTGGCTGGATCCCATGCAATGTAAAGCAATTGACAGCTGTTATAAGATTATGGTTCAGATTTTGTAAAATGGACAATGAAAGATTGAACAAACGAGTGTTTATGTGGTCGTTTAAGTATGGAAATAAACCAATTAAAAATTGATGCTTCAGAGTAATAACTACGTTTAAAGAGTATGATCTTGAACCACACTGTAATTGTGATATATTGTTAACTAAAAACGTAATTGAGGATATATAATGCTAAGCTATTGATTTATATAAAGATGAATGGTATCATAAGTTGGTTTCGAATGAATATGCCAAACTACGTACTTATAAATTGTTTAAAACAGAGTTTAAGGTGGAAAATTAAATTTGTTAAACTATTGCAGGGAAATGTAGTGGCGCTTTTGCTAAATTTCGCTGTGGTGTTGCGCCCCTAAAAAAAATTGAAACGGGACGGTATCAGAACTTATCTATCAATGACAGAGTTTGTTTTAATTGTAAAGATAATACGATTGAAGATGAGAAACATGCAATTTTGAGTTGTCCATTATATGCAGATTTACGTGCTGTTTTGTTTAGTCATGCTAATTCTTTTTGTCATGATTTTATAGTATGTCAGACGACAATAAATTTGTATATTTATTTAGTGATGAAAATGTTTACGTTTACACTGCCAAGATCTGCTATGATATTTTATTGAAAAGAAAAATGTTTATCATATTCTTAACATGTATATTTTATTATGCCTTATGTTTTATATTCTATGTGTAAATATTTATAAAAACAAATTATATAGTCTCTCATAAACCTTTTTAGAGTTGCTACTGTTTTATATGTGAATTTATGATGTGTAAATGATTTGTAAGAGGTGAGACATAAATAGAATATTGTCTTGTCTTGTCTTGTCTATAGTCTTACCCCCAATATAGATGTTCGGCATCATTCTTGAATTGTGGCTTATTTAGAGCTAACAACATATCTGATCCATCATGTAGATGTGGATTGGATATTGAGGACATGCGCCAATTTTTCTTTGATTATCTTTTCTATTTAAATGAAAGGGCTATTCTGTTTAATGGTCTCAGCTGGCTTCCCAAAGGCTGCAATTTGGACATAAAAATATTGGGTTTTGGAAACGACACCCTTTCCTATAATCAAAATGTGAAACTTGTTAAACAAGTCTTAAATTTTATGTAGAGATCAAAAAGATTCCTCAAAATAGGTAAAACGCACATCAGCATCATTGTCGTCATTAGCATCATCATCCTAATCTCTGTCGTTCTTTCTTTATCCCCTTTCCTTTTTTCAGTATAGTTTAGTAATATGTATGTTGTATTATTATATTATACAATCAGTTTGTATTGTTATATATATTGTATT